GGTGCCTGCATGGCGACGGCGAGTAGCGTCACGGCCGTTGACGCGAGGAGCGCAGCGACTGCGCTCATGGGCGAGCAAAGGAAAATACCTAGCAGCATGACGACACCCGGGAACCAGTCGCCGACGAGGAAGGTCTCGGCAATCCCAGAGAAAACGGCTTGGGCGATCGCAGCCGAGTCGTAGGACGCAGTCGAGAGCGTCGAGTTGAGCACGAGGCGGGGTGCTGGAAACGCCATGGTTTGAAGACTCGGGTAGAGCTGCGTCGAGAGCGCGTAGATCCAGATCGACACTTGAAAGGGAAACGTGAGGGTTGGAAGGCCGGGCGGCAGTGCCGAAGCCGTCGCCGTCGCCAAGAGCACGCTGAGAATTGATAGGAGTACAATGACGAGGCTCGCTACGCCGTACGCATCACCCGTGAAGAACGTGTGCACCGCACACCCGACCAGCGTCGCGTTGTACCCGTGGAGACCGGCGGCGCGCAAACTTCGGTCCAGGCCCATGAGGCACGAGAAGGCTGTCGCTGACACAACGCCGAGCAGTGCAAAGGCAACCATGCGCAGCCCTTGGGTCGACAGGCCGAGCGCGACGAGGAAGAGAAGCCCCGAGAGCGGTGAGTTTTGAAAGTTGCATTGACCGACACCGCGAAGACACGTATCGAGAAACGCCAGCGCTTGGTGCTTCTCGGTGTAGACGGCCAGTTGTGGCAGCGTTCGAAAGCATGCGACGCTGCCAAGGAGGGGCAAGGTGCGTCGGACACGCGGTGCGAGAGTCGTTGCAGCGGGGCCTTTGTTCGCGGGCGCCACCTTGGGCGACTCCATTGCGCACCACGGGTCCATGTCGATGGATGGTAGGGCGGGGGTGAAATGAGGAATAATGGCTGGCCCGTCGCGTGAAGCCATCTTCCTAGTTGTTGAAGTTTGGGATGCAACGGTGGAAACAGCTGGAGGAGTCCAACATGGCGAGTCGCATAAGATCGCCCAGCCTCACGAGTACTAATATCGACCGAGAAGACTGTTGCAGGAACGCTTATAGAAGGTTTAGAAGCGTCACCGTTGTGCCACGTACTTGAAGCAGCAACACTGCACCTGCTGGATCCTGCGGCGAGGCATCGGGATCGTCGCTGTTGTTCGGCAGCAAAGTGCAACCTCGGTACAGGTCCATGTACTAAGAGCGCATGCCTGACGATGGGGAGCATGGTTGTACGATCAGGGGCGTTAGAGTGCTTCGGGTCGGCTCTTGCACGGCTAGACTGTTTCGTCGCTGCTCCACCTCGCTTGTGTCGAGTTGCTGTTTTTGCTCGAAGGCACGGGTACCGTGTACTCTACATCTCGAGGCACCCAGCCACGGAAGATCTAGAATTTTTGCCCCGCTTTTGACTGGCTCGGGGTTGCAATCCGCACCCACCGAGACCCGCGAGACACCCCACGTTTCCGGCGCTGGGCCATTACATATGGCTCTGATTTGCGGGCCAACATTGCGCTGCAATCACATAGTGTTTGGCGGTGAGGCCTTCTGGACGTTGAAACGGTACCCACGGGCAGCTCGTTCACCCACAAGGCACCTTGGAGAACCTTTGCACACCGTGGGTGGTAGCAATCATGGGTACCGGTACATTCGTGCTGTCGCGAGTGAGCGCGTCACCATCTCGTTCGACGGTACATGTACCAAGGACATGTACAAGTCCGCGTGAAACCGCCCAAAATGACTGCGCGATCGTTCTGCTTCGTCGACTCGTCGAGCTGAATGAATCGAGCCGCGGGAGTAGTTTTGCAACCCACGACTCAAAATCTAGTACTCCATTCATAAGTTGTAGAAACCTCTCAGAGCGTAAGAAGCGTCGTTTGCGGAGGGTACATTTGGTGTATCGCTGCTAGCACAAGGCCTAGATGCTACCTTCCATCGCAGACTTGTGCTGGTATCCATCAGCGTGCCTGCTATTTATACGACATTGTCAGGCGTCTCGAACGGTGGCGGCGATGACGGAAGAGAGAAAGTCCATCCGACGTACATGCTGAGGCACGATCTATCCCCATCGAAATCAATGGCGTAGCATCTCAATCGCTTCCCGTCCTCGAAGCCGTGCGCACTGCAAAGCGGCTGTCGATGCCACGAGGTGATAGCATCAAGGCCATTGAGGCCACATCGACACCAGTTCGGCCACTCCCATCGCATTTCTTGTGTTGCTCAAGCCGCGACGGTAGGAAGCCAAGCTCTCGGCGCGCGGCGTGTGCCACCGAACGAACGCGCATTTTGAGGGTCTTGTCAAGGTGCAGAGGCATTGCTTCTCGACTGCAATTAGTCAATGATCTCTTGTAGTCGTCCACGTGGGTGCTCAAGAATGCCTTGTCGTCCGAAGTGGGCCGGCCTGTACGCGAAGCCCACGTTCGATTCGGCCGAGCCTACGCCTACTACCGGCTCGGGCAGTACAAGAAAGCTCTGCAAGACTTTACCTCGTGCATCGACATGGACCCTGCGTGGGCATTGGCTTACTTTGATCGAGGTCGCTTTTGGTCTGTGATATATATACTGAATGCAGCCAAAGGGTGTACGCACTATCACATGGGAAAGCTCGACCGTGCGATCCACGACATATCCAAAGCCATCAAGTTTGACCCGAAGAACAAGACGTACCTCGACAGCAGGGCGATGCTGTATCGAGAGCACGTACGAGGCGGCGATACCAGATGCACGTGCATCAACGCGCTTGCATTAGGGTCACTTTCGCGAGGCCATTGCCGACTACAACCGCATCGAAGGGCTCAAGATCGTCCCGCCGGACGAAACCATCTTTGGCCTGGAAGCGGCCGTCGCCACGCACAACATTACAGAGCGGCGGCCAGCGGCCAAGAATTCGCACGAAGAGCTGGACCCGCGCATCATGAGTGTCTTTCGCTACGTCTGGCAATCGCAATTCTGTCCATCGTAACATACGTGGTGCGTAGAAGCCCAAGGAGCGGCCGGAAGCGGCGATTCTCAGTGGGTACCAGATTGCCAAGTCGTGGCGCGTCTTTGAGCGCGAAAGTCAGGTACGACAAATGACGGCCACGGCTGTGCTTTTCTTCTGAAATCCGATACCAGAATGTGATTGTGGACTTCTTACAAGTCGGTCGCCTCGAATCGTACGCTGCACGGAGCTACATTTTCCGGCAAGGCGATGACGCGACCCACTACTATATCATTATGGCTGGCAGTGTCGTCGTCACGACAGAAACCATTGGTGCCGCTTCCAACTATACACTGGATGGATGATGACACTGTTTCGATCGATAGAAAATGGGCAAGTCAAGACGCAAAAACTCTGCTCGCTTTTTGAAGGCGACGGCTTTGGCGAACCGCGCGAGATTCCAGGTCCGCGCCGCGCGTCCGTGCTCACGTCCGACACTGTGCACTGCCTCGTGGTCTCGCACCGGTTTTACCAAAGCATCATGGAGCGCCACGTGCAAAGCCAGCTCGAAGAAAAGTGTGCTGTGTTGCGCAAGTGCCGCGTGTTTGATACGTACAATGATGTTATGCAACAATATCCACCACAATGAATGTCAACTAGGTGTACCGACGAGGTGCTCCAGCGTGTGGCGCAAATGTCCAGTCTCCTCATGTTCCAGCCGTATCGAACCGTGATGAAAGCTGGCGACATGGTCGACAAGCTCTACGTCATCAAGCGAGGCGTATGTACCGTCAAAAAGTTGCTTCCGATTGATGCCAAGCACGGCGACAGCGCCAGCCGGTTGGTTTTTACCTACTCTTTTATATCTACACTCGACGTTGCCTCTTGACGAACACTATTGTCTGTATAGCGAGGTTGGTAGCTCGGTCCCAAGAAAGAGTGCGCAAGGATTGTTGCAGAGCAAACGATCATCTAGTAGTATCAAGCGTTCAAAGGTGCCCGAGTGCTACGACGGCTCGTGGGCCGTGGACAATGGCTGGCAACTGACCAATCCGCGTCTCCGCAGCGAATTTACGCCCGAAGGTACCCTCTTTAGGGTTGGAGTGTATCTATAGGACCTTGTAGACAAGGACGCGGAAACCATTGAAGTCACGATTGCAACCCTGTCGACGGGCCAAGTGTTTGGCGAAGTTGGTTCTCTTCAAGCTAAAATGCACAAAATGTCGTCTTGTAGGTGTGTGTGTTGCGGCATAACCAGTCGTCGACGATTTCCGTCACCTCGGACACACTTCTCGAAGTGCTCGAGCTCAACCAGAACGGTCTCGCGCAACTCAATCTCAAATTCAACAGCCGCACCATGAACGCACTCCAAGACTCGTTCCTGTACCATAACCCGCCGCATCCAAAAATGGCACACCTCTTTGGCGAACAGCTTTCGTGGCGCCAGGAAAAATCGCGCATCGTGCTCGAGGTGCTGGAAGACAGCCCCGGGTATGGCGTCGTCAAGCGCGCGACGCTGGATCGGCACTCGACGTTGGACCCGACGACATTTTATATCAATTAACATTACCATTTGCTGTTGTATTCGGTGGATACGTACCTGAAACCATCGCACAGCGTCAAAGATCCCTTGGCTCAGAGCATGGGCAGAAGAGTCCACCTACCCCAGTAAAGTTGACCACCAAGTACTACAAAGCAGTCGTGAGTGTACAAGATCTCGGTGCCGAAAGACGAGACAGGCTTCGAGCGGCGACGTGGCGTCCACGGTCGTCGTCGCTTCCCCCGGGGGCCTTGACGCTCATGCCGCCGCGCGGCGTCGACCGAAGCAGCTCGGGAA